ATTTCTGGATAGCATGTTTCTATATTGATTGTATTATTGTGTGCAATGCAGTATGTCTAGGTATACTTTACTCCTTTTTTTAATCATATTTATAGAGGGTGACCCTTCCAGTGTGTCTTAGAAGGTCAGCTGATATTCAATGGCACCCTAAAATGAATTAAATAATGTGATGCTATTATCAGCCAAGTCTCTTAATGAGGCTTAGGGAGTGGAGTTGTTTTTAGTCATGAGAAAAAGTCCTGCTGTCACAGGAATCGAACTCAGGACCCTGGGACTAGAAGGCAAGCATCTTAACCACTAAGCTTTTCAACTTTACTCCGTGTCTTCTAGTTTCCAGGAAGCAGATTACGTTGCCCTTTGTGCTAGTTGTATCAATAACCCATAGGCAATAATAACATTGCATCTTGTATTCCTAGAAAATGTGCTGTTGAAGCCAATTATTATTATGTTATTATTATAAATTCATAACCAATTCATAATTATTATTTATGTTGTTATTATAAATTCATAACCAATTCATAATTATTATTTATGTTATTATTATAAATTCATAACCAATTCATGACCCAATCGCCAACCTACTTTTATGTACTGTAGATCTAATGTTGGTGCATACAGTTACTACTGTAGTGTTATGCATGAATTGTCCAGAATTACAATAGAAATATAAGTGTTGATTTAGTCTGCATGGCAGATGTTATTTACCACAAGGATTAGTTTGCTTTTGCTTTATTATTTTATTCTTTGTTATTCCTATATTGTACACACTTTCATAAACTTTTTTTTTTTTTACTTTTCTTTATATCACTTTTAACACAAAGCCTGTATAAACATTCTAAAGCAGTGTCTATACACAATGCTGAGCATCTGTTCGGAGAAAGTTGTAGTGGTGATAAAATTTTAAAATGTTTGTACTTTTAAATATCAAAACTTTTAAATTGTACCATATTGTGTTTAAAATAGTAGTTCATAATAAAAAAAAAAAGTTACCTTTCAGAGTTTGGTGTTTAATTGCTTGATGAGCTTTCAGCAACACTGCATTCTGTAAGCTATCAAGTGACGGATCTATACAATGTTAAAAGATGATGATTGCCAGCTGACAAAGGCAACATGATGTTGCCAAAAGCAGCTAAGGAAATAAATATCAAAAACATAACTTTACGCTTGTTTTATATCATGACAGGTTTCGACAACGTACATGTCACTAATGTAATTTTGTTTTGTTTCTCGTATTTAGTGTTTCTCTGGATAGTCCATTGTCTAAACAGTGTACACTTTGTGGCCACTTTATTGAAAACCATAGACCAAAAATGGAGACAGATGATGTCATCTTGACTGTGGCGCGAGACAACACATCTATCAGTTGCCAGAAAATGTTAGAGGTAAAAGATCAGATGACGAAAGGTGGCAAATATTGTGATGGGTATGATATTCACGACTGGTTTGAAGCAGTAAATGTTGATCCTGATGAAAGACAAGATACGGTAAATGGCGTATAAACTGTGTTGTATCTAGGAATCTTCAAATGGAGGGGGGCTGATGGGGGCACAAAGGCGGAGTGTGGGGTATTGATAAGAGAGAGGCACTAAGTCGCAAAATAAGGTGATATGAAGTGATGTTTACCTACTTGAGCATGATTTTTTTTAATCGCTTTCAGCAGTGGGAATGACAACTTCTATGTCATTTTCAACACCTTTTATACTGTCTGTTTCATGTTTTCAATTCAAGAACATAAAGAAAAAACTATATATATTAAAGATCAAAATTACTTATTAACAGTCACGATCAATTATTTTTTAACCTGCATTCAATGCTTGTTTAAAATGTAAACAATCTGTACTTCTGATGTTCTGATTGTCTGTGATACAGGAAGTAAATTACATTGATATCTAGAAGCAAGCACAGACTGACCATGTTAACATGTGGGAATACAGCTGTAATGGTGAAAAGTATTTGTTTTAATCATTGCAGAGTGATGCGAATAACTGCCATTGCCTCTGTAGAGGATTTGTGGTAGATGATCTGGCCAGACTCTGTCACATCTATTATGGTTTACCGTAAGTCTTCATCATTTTACTCTTTCAATACTTTAATGCTTATCATTTTTTTTTGTTAAATTGTTTATACCTTTATTATTTGTGTCCTTTTATCAGTTTAACTAATCCCGAAGATTCAAATACTCTCACATATGATTTTACTAAAATTTTCAAAAAACAACATATTTACAACCTTCTACTTTTAAGCCACCAATGGAAGACAGACATGCCAACATTATGAATGGTAATGGTAATGTTTGCGGACTTGTATAGCGCATAATACATGGTCTCTATGTGCTGATGTTTCATAAACCAAAAACAAATCTAAGGAACTCAGAAATCAGAGTGCTGCAGAGAAACCATCACAATTACATCATTTTTTAGACCACAGACAAGCAGTGATTTTTACAAGATCGTGACTCACAGATGCTCGAGTGATGATTGCATCTAGTTAGCCTATTCTATGAACAAAAATTAAAAGGCCAGAGAAAGATGGGTCTTGGGTCTTTGTTAAATATAGAGAGAGAGGTTGAGTCCCGAATAACAACTGGGAGCTACATGCATTCCATAGTTTAGGAGAGTAAAAAAGATCTTTCTCCAAATTTTGAAGAAATGCTGGGATTAATAAGGATCAGTAAAGGATATAAAGAATAGAATTTGTTCTGAAATTATGATACCTTCCCTCGCCCTCCTGTCTATTCTGTCAGACTTGTTAATCATGTCTTTCTGTCAAACCCGTATTTGTGTTAAGTTTTCTAAATTAATATTTCTTTTATTCATATATATACAGTATATGCATAACATACATACATTACATATTTTGTTTTACAGTAACACACATCAACTGTGCTGTGACATTATAAAATATATTTTAGGGAAATCAGTAAATATAATTATTATCTTATTATAAGTAATATTTCTTCTGTTGGCATCTGTAGGAAAGAAATTGTGCTGCCCCATTTGTCTTCCATAAACTGCCAAAGGTGTTCTCACAATTTATCTGACCACCGGAAATTAAATGATGAAGAACAGAAACAGGTAAGTGCTTGTTGTATTTTATTTAGATCTATAAAGTGTAGTTCTGATAAAAGAAGTTAAAAGAAGTTGCAAATTATATTGTATGTCTTAATAGGGTATACTGCTGTCTCTTATACACATCTAGATGGGTATAAGAGACAGGGGTACACTTTGTGGCCACTTTATTGAAAACCATAGACCAAAAATGGAGACAGATGATGTCATCTTGACTGTGGCGCGAGACAACACATCTATCAGTTGCCAGAAAATGTTAGAGGTAAAAGATCAGATGACGAAAGGTGGCAAATACTGTGATGGGTATGATATTCACGACTGGTTTGAAGCAGTAAATGTTGATCCTGATGAAAGACAAGATACGGTAAATGGCGTATAAACTGTGTTGTATCTAGGAATCTTCAAATGGAGGGGGGCTGATGGGGGCACAAAGGCGGAGTGTGGGGTATTGATAAGTGAGAGGCACTAAGTCGCAAAATAAGGTGATATGAAGTGATGTTTACCTACTTGAGCATGATTTTTTTGAATCGCTTTTATTAGTGGGAATGACAACTTCTATGTCATTTTCAACACCTTTTATACTGTCTGTTTCATGTTTTCAATTTAAGAACATAAAGAAAAAACTATATATATTAAAGATCAAAATTACTTATTAACAGTCACGATCAATTATTTTTTAACCTGCATTCAATGCTTGTTTAAAATGTAAACAATCTGTACTTCTAATGTTCTGATTGGCTGTGATACAGGAAGTAAATTACATTGATATCTAGAAGCAAGCACAGACTGACCATGTTAACATGTGGGAATACAGCTGTAATGGTGAAAGGTATTTGTTTTAATCATTGCAGAGTGATACGAATAACTGCCATTGCCTCTGTAGAGGATTTGTGGTAGATGATCTGGCCAGACTCTGCCACATCTATTATGGTTTACCGTAAGTCTTCATCATTTTACTCTTTCAATACTTTAATGCTTATCATTTTTTTTTGTTAAATTGTTTATACCTTTATTATTTGTGTCCTTTTATCAGTTTAACTAATCCCGAAGATTCAAATACTCTCACATATGATTTTACTAAAATTTTCAAAAAACAACATATTTACAACCTTCTACTTTTAAGCCACCAATGGAAGACAGACATGCCAACATTATGAATGGTAATGGTAATGTTTGCGGACTTGTATAGCGCATAATACATGGTCTCTATGTGCTGATGTTTCATAAACCAAAAACAAATCTAAGGAACTCAGAAATCAGAGTGCTGCAGAGAAACCATCACAATTACATCATTTTTTAGACCACAGACAAGCAGTGATTTTTACAAGATCGTGACTCACAGATGCTCGAGTGATGATTGCATCTAGTTAGCCTATTCTATGAACAAAAATTAAAAGGCCAGAGAAAGATGGGTCTTGGGTCTTTGTTAAATATAGAGAGAGAGGTTGAGTCCCGAATAACAACTGGGAGCTACATGCATTCCATAGTTTAGGAGAGCAAAAAAGATCTTTCTCCAAATTTTGAAGAAATGCTGGGATTAATAAGGATCAGTAAAGGATATAAAGAATAGAATTTGTTCTGAAATTATGATACCTTCCCTCCCCCTCCTGTCTATTCTGTCAGACTTGTTAATCATGTCTTTCTGTCAAACCCGTATTTGGGTTAAGTTTTCTAAATTAATATTTCTTTTATTCATATATATACAGTATATGCATAACATACATACATTACATATTTTGTTTTACAGTAACACACATCAACTGTGCTGTGACATTATAAAATATATTTTAGGGAAATCAGTAAATATAATTATTATCTTATTATAAGTAATATTTCTTCTGTTGGCATCTGTAGGAAAGAAATTGTGCTGCCCCATTTGTCTTCCATAAACTGCCAAAGGTGTTCTCACAATTTATCTGACCACCGGAAATTAAATGATGAAGAACAGAAACAGGTAAGTGCTTGTTGTATTTTATTTAGATCTATAAAGTGTAGTTCTGATAAAAGAAGTTAAAAGAAGTTGCAAATTATATTGTATGTCTTAATAGGGTATACTGTTATCAGCTTGGTCTCCTTACTCATACTATATTTTTATATTCATACTCATTGTTTATGTATATAGAGAAAGTGGTAGTCGAAAGATCTTTGGTTCAAATCCTCGTAAGGGCCAAATTCATTTTTACAGAAAATTGTTCTAATGCAAATGGCAAATTCCAATTTCCTCTGCAAAAATTGTCTGATCCCCTTCTCGGTCAGACAGCTCTGCTCTCTCTGTGTGTATATCATACAGCTACCATTACTGGCTCTTCCTCCAATATTCCCATGCTTAAATTTTAAAAGCAGTATAAATTTGATTTTCCTGACATAAATTAATACTTTGCTTCTTCTCTTACATTTTCAATTTACTGTACCTTATTTGTAGCCCACATTTTGATGTTTGTATGTACAGAGAACTCCCAATTCCCAACTTCCACTAATTACATAACTATATATTTGTAAAAAATATATTTTTCAACAGTCCTGTTTATAATTTTTTTTCCAGAGAGACATACAGAATGAACCTAAACTAACCGTGCTGTCAATGTCTCAGGTGAAAGTTTCTGCAAAAGACGGACAGAACCCTGTTGCCTTGTACACACCCGATTGCATAGGACCGCAAATGGTAATATTAAAAAACAAAAATAATGCCATTATAATAAATATTTAATTATAATAAATTTAATAATAAATTATTATAATTATAATTATTTTTTACTTTGAATAGAACTTTATTGTCATTTATAATAATAGCAAAAACAATAGTGCCTGCTTGTGATTTATTAATAATAATGAAAGTATCACTAACAGCAACACAACACAACACTCACTATATGCTGCTTATACTGTTGTATTTTTGTCTAGAAAAAAATAAAAACTAATTTAAATACTGGGCTATTAGTACTGTGGCTTATCTTTTACATTACACTATGGCTAAAAACTGAAGGTGGAGAAAAAAGGGGACTAACTTACCGTCATCAAGCTCATTATTATTGTAATCATTATCATCATCATCATCATCATCATCATCTTGTATTAACTGTACAAGGACTAAAGCGCATACTTGCATAATGTAGAATAGTAGGCAAGAATATAAGGACTGAACATTTAAATAGTGTAAATGTTCACGAGACCAACTAGGAGTGAAAACAAAATCCACATTGTTTCTACCTTAATGTATTGCCTACAATTCATATTTTCCATTAGCATAATCACAGTTTTAGTATTGTGTTTAATACTGAATTTACTAAAATTCTTATCATCTACAGTTTGGATTAGCTCAAGTAAAAGGCAGCGGTAATAAGAATGCAAGCTTAAAAATTGGTGTCATTCCAGTCAAAGTACCACATTCCAAGATACAAATGGTTAAGGAAACCAATCGAAAAAGGAAAAACTCCGGCAGGATTCTTAGTTCAGTGAAGAATAAGTTGAAGAAACGGAAATTAATGAGTAATTCAGCTGCAGGAGACAGGTAGGATATTTTCCATCTTTATATATATATATATATAT